AAAAAAAAGCATTGAGAAAATTTGCAGCATTAATAGCCGATAAAAATGATCGAAGTACCACATGGATGTTATAGTATCACAGTATTTATGATAGTATTCACACAAATCAAACATATCAAAAAGTGATTACTGAAATGTGTGATTTAAATTTTGCGTGTCGTAATAATATTGGAGTTTCAAAAACTATGAGGAAATAACTTTCATGAATTGCAAAAGAAGGGAGAAAAAAAGAAGATCGAAACACAGATTTATTGGGGGATCGCTCACATTGAATGTCAATTGGAAATTTCCATGTTGCGTGATCATATTAAAAATTTATTCAATCTGATTGTAGGCGAATAAATACCATTGAATAGATTAATTCTTCTGTTACAAATCGGAATTCACAACATAACTGGTACTCGTTAAAATATAAGTTTCAAAAACAATGAGAAAGAACTTTTGAATGTTTGCTATTTTGGAATTACTTTTTAGAATATCAATTTCATATTTCAGTGCTTGCCTCACTAGCTCACCAATTTGAGATTAAGTTATTATGGAATTTTTTTTATTACACTCGTGTTCTTCTAAAGAAAAACTAAAGAGGATGCTGATAAAGACAGTATAATTTTACTGAAGGCATACCTGTCAATATTGGAGAAATAAAATAACAGAGATTTTACAAGTGACATTTTTTTGGCTAAGAGTAAAGTTTTGATACATCATACATAATCATGTAAGTCAAAAAGAGAAAATCAAAACTGGAAATTGTATAAGCACTTACATTTATCTAAGTAAAAAATATGTATATAAATCTTAATCTAAAGAAGATTTTTTTTTAAAACCATTAATAATAACTAAAACTATAAATACTCAACATACAGCAGAACAGGCAATAGCACTATTTGTTCAGGAATAAGAAAAGTATTTTTGCCATTAGCGGATTTTTTATCACCAAATTTTTTATTTTTTAATTTCTTCAACAAATAATGAAAAATTTTGAGAATATACAGGCAAACAGGAGATAGTTGTAAAATACAGGACCCTTTGCTAAAAAACTGAATTGGCATGTATGCGCAAGTAACGAAATGTAAATTTTAGATTAGCAGAACTACCATTTTGCCAGAATATAAATTATGGATTCACAGAATTCCGTGAATTAGCAAAAGAAACACGTGCCTGACTCTAGCTCTAAGGAATGATTCTTACGACTCAACATGGTGCCAAAAACAAAATTTCCGATTTTTAGCATTTCATTAATTGCCTTCAAGACTCAAAGATTTTATTTGTCTTACAGAAAATGTAAGTAAAACTTTGCATTTAAATTAACATTATTTCAAAGTCTAAAACATGGTTTTTAATTTAAAAATTTAGTTTATTTTGAGTAAAATAAATTTACAATTTATAGCAGTGAATATTACAAAATAAAAAGATATTTTTTTAATTAAAAAATTGTAGGGGACCCAACTTCAGCTGTTTTGGGTGTTCAACTTATATTTTGTTTTCTTGCACAAAATGTATATGATTTAGAAAATTGAATTTACAGAGGTGTGTAAAAAATGTACAAGGTTAACAAGGAATTTTACATTTGATGTTTAGTTTGAAAATCAGTTATTGTTATATTTGAGTAAAAAGATTCCCTTTGAGTCTCTTTGCAACCCTCAGGTATGCAACTAGAGAATTGAATTTTGACATGCTGAAAGGAGCAATTTATTTATGAACTTGAGTTTTTTTCTTGAGTTGAGTTTTGAGTAGTTTCTTTTCTTCAAAATTCCAATTTGTTAAAAAATTACAGCAATTTTAAATGTTTTTCTAAAGAAGTTTTCGTTAAAAAACAGGAGACTTGACAGATATGAATAAGCAATGAAGACGCTAAAAAACTTTTTGTTCATAATAATGTATTATACAAAATTATAAAATAATAATTTGTCACCATGAATGAAGGAAATTCAGAAACAAAAGTGGATTTAAAAAAATATTTTTAAGACAGAAATTTTAAGTTCCCTAACTCAGACATCCATTTGACAACATTCCGTTTTTCAAATCGCGTTTTCCCGATATTCCCAGTGCGTACAAACTCTGATATTTCTATAAGAAAGAGTGCATTTAAAACACACACACACATACATATATAAATTTGCAATTACATAAATTATATATAAATTTACACATGAACAATTTAATAATTTGTCCTCAAATTTGACCAACATAAATACATTTAGCAATCCACAGCTCATGGTTAGTAACTGATATCAGGTTATAATGAAGTTAAACTAGAACACTATATGTAAAAAAAGAAATAATTAAACAAATAAATAAATATTCTTTTAAAAAATATATTTATTGCTAATTAGAAGAAAAAAAATATTTAAACTTTTATATAAAAAAAATAAAATGAAATTGACATACTTAAAACAAAGAATAAAATTGCTGNAAACTAAAAAAAGTGATATTAACATACATATAAAAAGTTTAAAACTATAACGAAATATACTGCAGTTTTAGTAGAAATCATAGTAAATATGGAATATATAGAATAGAGAATAGAATTGAATAGTTAGAATTGAGGTACAATTTACTGTAGTGCTTTTTTTGTAGCCAGAGGAAACATTTCCATGCATTTCACATTCCATTCAAAGTAAAATTTACACAGTAATGCAACATTTTTCAGAATTACTACACAGTAAACAAGTATCAAAATTAACAAAATAACTGAAAATTATTTTTAAAAATTTAACCAAAGGCATTAGGCTTTAAAATAATTATTAATGAAATTTAGCAGGCTTACCTTGAAAAAAAGTTAGAATAAATATAATAAATAAAATAATAAAAAATAAATATAATAAATAAATGAAATAAAATATTTCACTAAATATTTCAGTTACTATTCTTAGACTATGTTACATTTTAAACTTAGGTGATCAAGTAACAAGTTTAACAGACATATGATTGCTAGAAAAAATTATCTTAAATTTTTCATTCACAATGTATATTTTTTTTGTATTTAAATTCTTTTTATCCTTTTTATTGATACATAAAAAAAATATATGTATTGAGAAAAATGCCATATTACTCCATTCTTGCACTTTGCAAATCGTCAACGCATGAAAAAAAAAACTTTAAATTTACAGGAATAACTGAAAAAAGAATGATTAACAAGAGTATATTTACAACAAATCGAGAGCGACAAAAAGGGGTTAATTAAATTAATGTTTTGAGATTCAGACATTATTTCGATCTTTTTGATATATTTAAAAACGTATTAAAAATACCGAAATTTTAACAAATTATAAAAAAATAAATAGTGATAAATGCCAAATAACTGGTTGAAAAATTATATAATTATAAATAGAAAACACTTAAATGCGCAATTTAAACTTCCCATACCACAATAATGTAGTGATTTAAAAAAAAACATGAAAATCAACAGCATTGATTTAAAAAAAAGAAATAAATATTAAAAGGTTGCTTGGAAAGTAAATTTTTTAAAAAAAGTATACAAGCATTAAAAAATAAATTTATATAAATAAAAAAACAAAAGAATAAATGTAATAAACCACTGCACTCTGTTTAAAGAAAAATTACTGCCATTAAATTATACTGCTCAAAATAAAGAATATAGGGGAAAAAGTTTCCCATATAAAACTAAAATTAATTCATTAATTTAATTAATGAATTAATATTTGAAAAAACTGCATAAAAATCAAGTGCCATTCACTACATGTTTGAAAAAATGTATTTGAAATTGAATGGAGGATTAAAAAGTATTTTAGTAAGGATTGAAAATTTGAACAAGATATATAAATATATATTTCTTGGTGAGGAGCTATTCAAATTATTGGTGTTTGCATGATAATCAATTACTATTTGTAGAAAAAAAATAAAATGCCCACATTATACAATAGAATATATTTATTTGAAACAATATATAAGAAATGTTGTTCATTCTTAGCTTATTTTTAATACAATTGATAAGAAGTATGATTCTCAAGCACCCCCTGGGTATTGCTCGGGTGTGCCATGGGTAAAGACAGTACTGTGATAGAGCTATTATAAGATTAGACCGAGTAGGCATATGCTCATCTCTCCTACCTAAAAATTCCTAAAATTAGATTCCTAAAAATTAGTTTAGGTATTTAAACATGCAAATCTTGTTTTTAATTTACCATACACATAAAATTGAAAAGAAGGCAGTCTTTACATTTTTAGGAGCCTTGCACTAAAACAAAAAGATCATAAAAATCAAAAATATAGAATTAGAAAATCTAGTTTTTTTATATAAATCATTTGATGATTATTTAAATTGGATCCTTTAATTCAAAATTCTTTGTTTCTAAAAAGCACTAATGTTGTGTACATAAATATGAAATGATGGTATAAAATTTCTAGAAAATTTTTTTTAAGTAGTTGGTCTTTAGAAATGAGATTTTTTTTAAAAAAAAAGCAAATTTATTGTAAATATCTGGAGTAAAAAAAATATTGTTTTACTGAAGAGCAGGAAAGAAATAGAATTTTTTAAAAAACCACAAAATCTACCAACAGTTTTGATCAAGCAATAAACAAAAAAAAAATCATGTTGAACAAATAATTATTTACCATTATCAAAAGTATCTTCTTCTAATCCTGTAAGAAATGCAGCTTCAGAAAGGTTCATTTCAGCAGCAATTTCTTGTTTAGTTTTTTTTCGATACTGCCTCTAGCAAATTCAAAAATATTAGAATCATAGTTTCAATAGATATAGTAATCAGAAATAAAAAGATAGGAATAATAAAATTCAAATGTCAAACAATTCATATCTAAACTGGGCTATGAGTTTAAAAGTACAAAATCCTTTAAGAGGATGGTAGTTGGCACAACCCAGTCCATGTGGCTTTTTTATATGAAAAAACCTTATTATGTTTGGGGCTAATTGGTTTTTTTTTTTACAGGTTTTTTCATGAAATGATCTAATTTCGCCCAAAGATGAGTGCATTTTATAAATATATTCTACATGCATTCTTATATGTACGAAACAAAAAATATGGTTTAAACATAAAAAAATATTGCTCGATTATTATCAAAGGTATTAATAAATTAAATTATTATGATGAGAATAACTATTTTAGTCATATTTCTGCCATTTAAATGTACAATAGCATAATGATGAAGTTGCTAAAATAACTCTTTGTAAAATGCAAAGCATAATAAACAATATAATTTGTTTTATAGTTAATGAATGGAATTTCTAGATGCAATGCATACATTCATGAAACTAAATATACATATGTATTGAAGCATGTGGTATGTTCATTTCTATTTATTAATGTGTGAGTTTTTTATATGTTTCAGAAAGTACAAATAAAATAACTTTAATCTTTATTAAATCATTATTATGCTTTTAAAATGAAGAAAAAACATAATAAATTTTAAATGTTTGTTTCGAAGCATTTCAAGTAAATAGTTACAGATTTTAATGAACATGCAGAGATGTTCATTATAACTAATAATTATGTATTAAATAAGATATCATGTACAATCAATATCTACAATATATATTTTCATTCCATTAATAATAATTCCATTATATATTCACTATATAATTCAGGGTTCCCACTCATTTAACAAAGCAAAAATTAAGCACTTTTTAAGGACTTCTTTTTAAAAAAATTAAGGACTTTTCTGAAAAATTAAGAACCTTAAAAATAGTATTGTTTATTATTGAATATTCATATACCACCAGTGACGAGGCGAATCATTTAACTTTCTTAAAAACAAAATTCAATAAATGGAAGGAAAAAAAACAGAAAACAATTTTATTATGATGTAAGTAATGAAATAATTATATTAATTAACAGGGCTTGCCAAAGTAGGAGTAAGCAATTTTTGCAAACTCGGGTCATTTTTTCTTCTTTTTTTAAAATTTTTTTTTTCCGATTGACGACATCTATCGAATATTCGTAATCCAATTTCAATAACTTCATTAAATTGAATTGTAAAATTAAGTGCCAAAATGAAGATTTTCAATTCTTTTCATATATTAAAAAGAAAAGAGTAAATAAAATTTTTTAGGAGAAACAATGAAAAGATTATTACAGCAATACTTTGCTACTAAAAATGCATCACATATTCAGTTGTGGGCCAAGTTTGCTAAATATTCAGTTATGACCAAAAATATTCTTTCTTTTCTATTAATAAAATGTTTCATTTATACAGGAATTAAAACAAAAAGTTGAATTAGAGTTATGCATGAGAGTAGTTTTCTTACAATGTCATGTTTAATTAAGTCCTATTTCAAGTAAAAACAGGCCATACTAACATTCAAGCACCTTAAATTATTCCACTTTTGTTCATTAGGCTTAATTTAATATATTTTTTAAAAAAATCATTTAAATAAATATTTTTATGAAAGTTTTTATAAAATAAAAATATAATTAAGTTTGAAAAAATTTTTACTTTTCAAACCAATGTGTTTTATTAGTTCTCAGTGAAACACATAAATGAAAGGGTCAAGAACGACTTTTCAAAGGTATCAATACATTTCTAAGGTCAGAAAATTGGTAAGGTTCCTTATCTAACAAATACTGATAAGTTATTTATTTTTTGATCCTTTATAGGTATTTACTAGTAATACTTCTTTATAATCTGCTAAGATTCTTAATATTATTCTCTACTATTATAATGATTTGATATTTTACTTTTAACGCAAATTAACATTTTAAAACTGAAAGCGGTATACTTTTATTATAAAGTAAATCTGTAACATCACCTTTATCAGGTAAAGTTTTGTAAAAAAAAATTGAAAAATATTATGAAAAACATATGCTTTTTTTTGTTGTTAATAGCGGGTAATTGGGGGTTGTCCCATTGGCCACAGAAATGCCAGAACTGCTACTCTCTTCTCGTTACCCAGTGGGCACCTGTGACGAAGATTTTTGCAAAAATTTTCCTTTCGAATTTTCAAATAATTTGAATATTGGAAAGAAAACTGACTTTCTCAAGTTAAATGTATGCATTAATTTTAGTACTTTCAATGAAAAAAAAAAAACTTAGTTTAGCATAAGAAACTTTAAATTAGGTTCAAAATTATGTATGTATATACATATATACAACAAAATAAATATATACAAAAAAACACGAAGAAAATTAAGAAAAACAATAAGTTTCATTTATTGCGCATAAGCTGCAAGTAAACAGAACTCATTAGATAAGTTCAAAATGAAGATAAAACAAAGGAAAATTACAGACATATGAAAAAAGGGGGGAATAGAAAAATAATAATAAAAAAAAAAACAAACAACTGGGTGAAAAAAAAAGGATAAATTTTTTTTAAAAATCCAGAAAATAAAAGATATAATCTTTTCATCAGCCCACACGATTATATCCGCAAAAAAGAGTGCTTTCTGATACTGTATCAATATAGTCAAAGCAAAATATATTAATATAATAGTGTGAGGAGCACTCAAAAAATTTTTTTACAAAAATTACAACAAATAAAATTGAACACAATAAGTAAAGTAACATGTTAAAACAGAAAATAAAATAAAGTAAAAAGAAAAAACAGAATAAAACAAAATCTATAAAGCGAGTAGCGAATTCAAATGTAGTTACGCGAACGTGAAATTTTTCAAGAATGATTTAAAAAATATTTTCATAACAAGATTGCCCGATTGAAAATATGAAAACAAAAGTGCAAATTGAGCATAACTAGAGAAGTTTTGCTTTAAAGTGCCGTTCTTACTGCATTGCTGAAGTGAGTTTGATTTGTTAGTTTTCAAGGATGGGCCCGAAATGGATGTGCGCAAGGTAATATTATACTGGATAATTTAAAGAAGTTGACCATAAATAATTTTAGAAAATAAATATTTATTTTCTAAAATTATTTATGGTCAACTAGATAGAAATTTTTATTTAAATGTAGAATACCAGTTAATAAAATTAGCCACTTAATACAATCAAATTTCCTAAGAACGAATGATGCTTAATTAAGTGACAGGTACTGTATATTATTAAAAGACAAGTCTTGCTGCAGCTCCCTATAAGAAGATGGGTTTTTAAAACTTTTATAACTTCTTCTCTAACTAGGACAACAAAAAAAAAGTTTGGGAGAGATTAAAACAAATTTTTATTTAATATTGAAATCTGAAATTTAATGATTTACTCATAATAAGCTTAAAATGATATTTGGTAACTGTTAATAAATGAAATCAAATAAAAATTAACTACATTGATTAAAATCAAAAGCTGCATCATAAAATATGCATTAAAAGCTATTTCAGTTTCCCTACAGCTAATAAAAAACAATTCATTAATAACTAAAATAAAACTGTAAGGAATATATAAAAAACAATCCCGAACTTGAATATGTGTTAAACTCATAATACACCAGCTAATACTTACTCCATCAGTTCTTAATATTTTACTCCTCAGCCCTGAGAGGTAATATACGCATACTCTACATTTTTCGCCAGACACTGTGACAAGAATATTTTGGCCTTCTAGGACTTTCACTTGCCGAAATTTTCTCCTCGATATTAACTGGTACACCTTACCTTAACCACTACGGTCAAGAAGCATGAGTCCACTCTCTGTACCAATCAATAGATTTACTCCTAAGTAGCAACAGTTTAAATTAAAAAAACAATAAAATAAATTTTAGCAACAAAATTAAGTTCAAAAAGAAATTAATATTAAAAATTATAATTCCAAGCAACAGTCTGATAAAATATTGCTATGAGCAATGTAAAAATTCCACCTAATGCTTAAGTCACAGTTAGTAGCAAATACAAATAAATAAGTAAATTATACAATGCAATGAGTTTAAACCAGCTTTTAATCTATTTTAATAAATGTTGATCTGCTTTAATTCCAATTAATATCAGCAAATTACTAATTAATTTTCTTCTACAAAATAATTTATAAATTTATTATTCCATATTTAAAATTTAATGTCCTTGTTCGTTACTCACGAGAAAACTTAGAAGGATACACAATAAAACATTTAAACATCGTATTGCAATAATAATGAGTGAAAATTTATTAATAAATTAATAATGTAAGGTTTACTGTTTACTTTTCACACTAAAAATAAACACCATCAAAGACTTTAAAATTATTAAAAAAAATATTTCACTATTGAATGCTTGACTTTCAAACAAATGTCATGTTTTTACAGTTTTTTATTTATTTATTTTGATTGCTTTTGCAAGCAGCAGAAACGATCATCGCCTGGTAAATTACCTTGAAAAGGCAAGATCCGCTGTTTGAAGTGAAATTATTTAGTTGTAAGTGAACACATTTATTTAAGAATGTTGAAATAACAATCATATTCATATTTATATGACTATTAATGAAAATAATAATAAAATTATTAGCAAAGTTAAACTCATAAAATCTATATGAAAAATATCAGGGTTCGAAAAAACTCAGAAATTTTAACTGTCCCTGAGGACGGCTTGTCCAACAATGCACCCGTCCTCTTTGAAACTAGCCCGTAGCTTCTAAGTAAATAAAAATATAATTTTCTCTTATTAATTATAAACATTTATAAAAATTGGACAATGAATTAGTAGTCACTAGGATTACAAATACTTACATTATACAGTAATAAAAGAAACACTAGGTTACTAATAGTAACCTAGTATTTCTTTTATGAAATAATTTAAATGACAAAGGTCAAGTTATCTGGAATATCAATTTATCCGAGGGTACTGTGTTTCTTAAATGAATCAAATATGACGTTTGCCAGTTCCACAATCAAGCCAATGATTTACAGAGGTTTCTGCACAGAAATCTAAAAAGGGTTTTCCATTTAGGTAGATGTTCATAATTGTGTTTAACGCTTCTTGTTTAAGACTAGTACGTAATGTGTTTTTTTGTAAGTTAATTGCTGAAAAGCCCCTTTCAACCGCTGCAGTACTCCCAAACAGAGAAAACATCAATTCTAATAACAAAAATTGAAAATGTATCACGAACAGTAACGAGAAAATGGCCGTCCGAGCGGACTCGAGAAATTCGTTGTCCGCAGAGAATTTTTGACCGCCGAGGACGGGCGGTTTTTCGAGCCCTGAAAAATATCAATAGTTAAAAGCCTAGTTTTTAAAATAAACAAAACAATGCCATCCAAAAATTTTTAAAATATGTATAGTCTTTTTCTTTGTAAAAAATCCAGCAGTTAAAATATGGGAGTACATACAAACGTATGTCAATATAAAGGGTTACAATTTATTCAGTCTTGTTCTAAATGTATCACTATTTTTTTTAAAAAATTCACACCTAATTTTATCACTAATCTAGCACTAAAACTAAATCAGGTAATTTGGATATAAACTTAAGATGTTTGAGAAAAAGGATTTTGTTTTCAAAAGGAAATGAACACATTATGAGGAATGAAATAAGAACTAATAAGCATTTTATAGGAACCCTGTAACAGAATTTAGGTTTCAGGAAAAATATTTACATAATTTACTTTGCGCTAAATAATTGTGTATCAAAAAAGAGAGGGAGAAAATACTTTTAAAAAAGTGCTAGATTCTCACTCCATAAGGCAGTACATAGGATATCAGAGTTGAATTGTACTTTCTTATTTCTGGAGTGTCATAAGATGACTCGTGCGATGTTGGTGTAACATTGAATGGCTCTCTTTCCTTGGAGATTGAGAGGGACCAGTACCACCACCAAACCCAAATGTGAGAAAAGAGCACTGTTTGTGTTGTAGTTGAGGAGGAGCCTTTCCAACAGCTTGCCTCTACTCTTACATAAAAGAATAAAGTTATTCAATTAGAAAAATAAAACTAAGAGATAAACAGACAATAAAGCAATATAAAAAGCAAACATCAAGAAACTATAAATATTAATTCATACTGTATTATTTAAAATTAGCACAACAAACAAAGCCAATACTTATTTTAGAAAAAGTGGTAATTTTATTTTAACATTTAGTGCAATTGCAATAACATATAAAAAAAATTTTAACACTTACTTCCTGATATATCTGCAATAAAAATTAAGATACTTTTATTCTACTGATTTCTTTAGAATATTTAAAGCGAATGTCAAATTTATACATAAGTAATATTACTTTTCATTTCAGTTAAAATAAAAACTCAATATTTTCAACAAAAGTTATGTAATGAATGTATATGTAGCTACGTATGTTATAGTGAATGCTAAAAGTAATATCTTTCCAATAACATAACTAATTACTATTAAAAAAGATAACCATACACAAAAATTTTAATGAGACTTAAAACTAGAATATTATATTATGTTGTTCCATTTAAAATATGTTATTTATAAATTCTAAAAGCAAACAAACAAAATTATCATAATTCCTACTTAAAAAGCATAACTCTCTCAAACTCTCTCTAGAAACACATAAAATTTAAGCGAATATTTTATTTAAAAAAAAAAATCACATATTAATAGCACATGTGGGTATATTTTCTGATAATTAACTTTAAAAATTATTAATGTTTCAGTCACTAGAATATCTTACTTAAAATATATATTGAATGAACCAGTTATACAAGTCACAATAGGAAAAACGAATTTCTTAATTCTAACTAATATTTTGCAGGGGTGACATTAAAGAAATGGGGAAACAGAAGGAAAAAAAAATATTATGCTTTAAAAACAAATAAGAATATTTTAAGTGCAATAAATGTATCAAGTAACAAATCAACTAGATGTTTCCAGGGGTCTGTCCAGACATTTTGT